TAAAACTGATAATGTTTTCTCTTTTCAGTTCTGAACAAACACTAGCCTGTCTTAACCTTGGCATGTCAGCCAAATTTGAAGCAAAGCCTTGTAGGGTATAATGAAATTGGCATTGAAGGGATGAGATTATTGCAGAATTGTAGGAGAAATAACATGTTTTATCAGCGCCTGTTTGTTGGCAAACATGTCCAAGTTTTGTATCTTCTTTTTCTTGTTGCCTTGTTTGCATTCGCTTTTTGTCTTTGCTCTTACGTGAAACATGCATGTTCGATTTATTCTTTGAGGGCTATAATGAATTTGGGTAAACTCCTGTAGAATAATTATTTTACTATGGCATTTTATCTTTGTGAATATTTTGCCCAGGCTTTAATGAAAACATAGGAGGTATGATCACACAGGTTATTCAGAGGAGCTGTTCGCCCACTGTGCATTTTACTTGGATGAACAGCCACTGAACTGTGCGACTATGCAGGTGCAACCAATGTACTGTAAAGATGGGTGGGTGGATAGTCATAAGCAGACATGTGTTGGAGTGAACTTGTCCGGATAGCAGTGCGGGAACTTCCTTTGTTGATATATTTTTTAATAGGCAGGTTCTGGGGCCATCATATTCATTGTTGCTGCACTGCCTGAGTCACTGACCTGGAACAAGCATGCAACCAATGAAGACTGAAACATCTGAACTCCCATCTTACTTGTTTAGGTCAGTGATTCATTAATAAATGTGAGGATGCTGAGGAAAATTTCAATGCTGCAACGGAGGAGGAGACGGGCTGGAGGGAGAGCTGTGACAGCTGGCTGGCTCTGAGCTTTGGGTTGGTATAACTTTGTTTTTGTCCCTAAACACAGACCAGCACTGAATATTTGCAGTGCTGGGGTAGCCCCACTGCAAGGGTTAATAAACGTTTCGCCTGTAGTTCTTTTAAGTAGTGAATCCATGAGCAGGATCATGTTGGCCCCTCAGTCTGTACCTTTTTAAAATGTAGTGAGCTAAAGGTTTACTTCAAGACAAAAACCATTGGCTAACTTTTTCACTTCAGAGGTGGTAGAGTCCTCTGATAAAGCTGTAATCTCGGATAATCCTCAAAGCACAGTTGTCATGAGAGGAAGATGTAGGCTGCCATTGTTGACCTGTCGCTCTGAAAATGTTGGTTGCCTGGCTGTCCTGCTTTGGCTTAACAGTCTGCGTTAAGTGACCTGACAAGTCTAGAGATGAGGAGTTGTGAATTTAATCTGTTGTATGCTTGTTCTGGGCCCATTTTATCAGTTACTAAAGACAGAGCTCCCATAGTTCTTTCATTACAGCCTTGCTTGTAAAAAGGCCTTTATGTGGTTGTGTAAGAGCCCACTTGAAAGCTGAATTACTATTGAGATAATATGGTAATGACTATTAAAGTTGGCCTTCAGGAAGACTTCTAAACCTACAGTTTAAATACATGTCATGCATGTAGGTTGTCCTCCCTGCTGAAATATTGGTAATACTGTTCAGGCATTTTTGTGATTTACATTCCTGTGCCAGGTAGGTGACCTCACTCTGTCCTGCATCTGAGCAATAGTGTTTAGTCACCACCCTGCTGATTGGAAAGTGAGGAGTAGTGTCATGCTTTTGAAGTTAGTTGTCCACTCTCTTTTCCTTCAAACATGTCTGGTCCTTTTTGACCGATGATGGGATTATTCCGTCACAATCTTTCAGTTAGTTTAATCCCGTCATGCGGTAAAATGAGCGCTGGTTTGTGGAGGGACCAGCGCTCATTGAGTTAATGCTGTCGCTGGGTCCCTCTGTGTCCAAGGCAGACCCTCAATAGCAGATTATATACCTCAATAGCAATGATCACAGCCCTGTTACAGCCACTGAGCCGGCTTGCAGCTCACTGTGTTGTGGCGCTGGAAGCTGGAGCAGTGCATTACAAAGTATCTCTGAGGAGAATACAGTTTCTCCTCCGAATACAACATTTTGAAGCCCCTGTAAATAGAAAAATGTAACCTTTGTGTCCCCTACTTTTAATTTTCTTTTTTTTTTTAATTTTACATTTTTTTCAAAGTTTTAAAAATAAGTTTAATAAGAAAATATAGTGCTGAAGAGGCTACTAAAGTTTGGAGACAAACATACTACATTCTAAAATTGTTCCACAGTAACATTGTAATTCACTCCTCATATTTTGTGACCTATAACTCCCAAAATAAACTGAAATCCCAGACATATGATATACCCTATAAATCAGGACAAATAAAATAATTTATTTTAAATTACTTTCTGTTTAGCTACACGAATTATGTACACATTATTATTGCAAAAACTTTTTTTTTTTTGCATTTGTTTTTTGGTATAGAAAAAAAGAATTTATATAAGTATGTCACATCAAATTGAAGCCTATTTTGTCCTTTAGAAAAGGTATATAATATGTATAGGTGCAATGCATGAGGAAGATGGAAATTATGGTTAAAACAAACACATGGCAAAATTGCTCCGGTCCCCAGAAGCAAAAACATTTTCTGAAGCTGTCACTAAGGGGTTAAAGTCAGATCTTAGTGCAGACCGATTCAGATGCTTACGTTGGTGGATTAAATGGTGTTTGTTTTATCTTCCTGGAGTTTAAAGCTGCGTCACCGTTTGGAGAAGGAGCTTTGTAGCATGTGCAGGGTACTTTCTGTGTAAGCGAGGTTTCTCCATGCACAGAAGGCAAGCTTAGTGACTTCCAATGATGCCAGAAATGGATCGTTTTCTGCCGCTGACAGTACAGTTTGGGTTGTTTTTCTGATATAAATGGTATAGGAGGCACTATGTGGAAGCTTTGTCGTTGGTCTCTTCTGTACTAGTAAATGATAGATCTGCGATACTAAAATGTCCATGGGACAAACAGTCGGTGTGTGTTTACTGTACTGTATAAACAAGTAATTCCGAATATTAGTGCTGTATGGAGGGAATGTGACTGAATGGAACTGAGTGCTAAGTGATCTGATCATAAGTTCTAGTTGCCTCATTGTGTTTCATGGTTAGGAATATCTAAAACAGTATACGAGAGAGGAACACATACATTGATTTAGGCATTGTGTCGGCCAAATTGGAATTTCCAGCTCTGATAGGTGTGATAGATACAGAAGGTGGTGTTTTGGTTTAAGAGCTGGTTCCTCAGTGTCATGCAGCATCGGTGTGTTTGATGTGTACAGCTTTTAGAGCACAATCCTTTGTGAAATCAGCAAAGCTGAGGAGATGATCACAGCCTCAGACTATATATGGGCCTTGGGTAAGTGCTTGTGTTATATTTATATCTCTGGCCTGCTGGAGTAGATGTGGAGGCAGAACAAATGTTGTTTTGGAAGCTGTCCAGCTCTGAAAGCCGAATTTTTCAGTTCTCTGTTGTACAGTGTAACGGTGCATTACAGAGGTAAATAGACAGTCTGATATATCAGAATTGTCCTTTATTCTCTGATCGGGATACACTATGGAAATGTACAACATTAAATTATAGAATTGTTGGTCTAGGATTCCTAAAATGATGGCATTTAGACCTTGTTTACTCAGGCCATGACTCTCCAAACTTTGTACTGCACTTTTGTCTTCATGTAGGGTATGCAAAGCTTTTTCCACAGCCTGTGAGCCTGCTAATGCTCTTCATAAGCTTGTTGAATGCTACATGCACACTGAAAGGGTGTTTAGAGGAGGTTCCAGTAGAATTCCCCAATGGGAATGTTAGATAAGTGCTGGGAACTGACAACCCCTTGTAAATGGTGCAGAGTTGTTTTTGATTTGAAGCAATGCAATGATAAACTGGTGGAGGTGTTTGGGGAGCATTTCTATTACTAGAAAAGCACTCTCTAAATGACTTAATGTGAAGCCCATGTAAACTAGACCAGCGGTCGCCAACCTTTCGGAAGTCATGGACCACTAAATTCATAATTTTAAATCCCGCGTACCACTAATATGAATTTTAAAAAAATATTATTCTCATATTGTTTCCTCGTATATAAATATATTCTATGCCTCCCCTTCCCCCACACTGAGCCACTATTACCTGGCTTCTCCCTACTTTTTCTATGTCCCACAGCCTGCTCAGTCGGGGTATTGACGATATGCCCCGCCTCCTGCAGAGCCCGCACTGTACCAGCAGCCGTGCATTCCTTGTGACAGCCGCTGCTTGAGTGAGAGGCAGCCCCGGAGCCTCCGTGCCGCTTCAATGACGGTCCAGCCTGCACGGCATCAGAGGGGCCCGGGAACCACCAACATTTTCTCGCGGACCACCAGTGAACTAGACCTAACTCCTCAGAATATAGTCGGTTAATTTTATTTTATTTTTTGTGCCTCATGGTGATCATGTTCATTGTCTCATGGTGCCTTGTGAGGCCAGGCCTAAGTAACCAATTACTAGGTTTTATCACTGTCGCATGGTTGGAGGAGTTATTCAAGGCTCCCCCAGGAGGCTAAAACCGTTCATCTCCTTGCTGGCTGCAGAGTAGTAAGGAGCCGCAAGGGATATCAGGTAGGGCGAGTATTGGCATTGGGGGATAGCCTGCATTGACGGTGTCTTTTTATATTCCAGGGTAACAACATATTATGGTTTAAAAGGGTACTAGTGAGGATAGGAATATGGGAGCTGCCACTCCTTGTTCTTAGGGATTGTCCATATCCCTTTTTGGGGTATTTTAGGAGTTAAAACAGACCTTCCCTAAAAAATAGAGCTAACTGCTGTTTGTTAGCTCTTTCCGTTTAAAATCTCCAGATCTAACAAAAAAAATACTCCAAATGTCACAAGAATAAGAATGCTTTTCTGAACAGAGATTTGGGATACTTGTAGGGTGGTGAGTGATGTCACTGGCACCTAGGTGAACAGGAGTATGGATCCATCTATGCAATGTCCTCTTTAAACTCCTAAAATGCAATGTGTAGTCCCCAATGCATATGCTCAAGACCACCATATGTGAAATAGTTGAATATTTGTTGTGGCTTGTGAAAAGAACACATTTGGCATGTTTTCCTAAAGATTCTTTTTTCTTTTTCTTTTAGGAAGTTGAAAAGGAAAGAGATCCTTTGTCGTACCTCAGTAAGGAAGAAACCAAAGAGAAGATCCAGCTTTACAATGCAGACGTTACTGACAAATTAAAGATGACACTGGTAATACTCAAATCTATTTCTATATTGGGTTTTTTGTAAGTGTATTTGAAGTAAGTGCATATTTTCAGTTATTTTTGCCCTACAGGCGAGAGGCAGATGTTGCACTGCCTGTCATTATCTGCCTGTCTTAGGCTAGATTTACTTTACAAGTATAATGGCCTCCAGCATGGCAATTGAAGAGCTCTTGTGGAACTGTGGGGGCAAAAAGAAGCCTGCTGTTATGTCATTTAAATGTCACAGTTGTTACCTTTTGGCTGTAGTGAATGAATAAATGCACATCAATAAGCAATGAACACTGCTCCGCCTAAAGCCCTGAGGTGCAAAAGCTTTTGTGAACCCTCACTTGTAATGTAGACCAAGTGAAGTAAAGTACTGATGGCTTATTTGGGAACAAAGCCCAAGTTCTTTTCCTACATTTAGCGTCCACGCATGCTATATCGGAGTGCATTAAGCAATATTTGAGTGGCTTTCCCAGCATCTTAAGAGATAATCATGTACTGTTCATCATTTTCAAATATGCATTGTCAAATAAAGCGTTTTTTTTGGGGCCGATAGCATGTTTGGATATTTAATAGCATTGTTAGATATTTAATAGCTTTTTTTCTGTTTACAGAATTCCAATGGCATATACACAGGTTTTATAAAAGTACAGATGGAACTAAGACGACCAATCACTGTACGGACACGAACAAATGTAGTACAAAGCTATGCCAACGGCAATGGAAATAACACTGCCTTCTACATGCCCAAAGGCAGCATAAACATTCTACATATCAGCAGTACCAACACTGTCCGTGAAGTCATTGAGGCCTTGTTGAAAAAGTTCATGGTTGCTGACAATCCTGCCAAGTTTGCACTTTATAAGCGCTGTCAGAAAGAAGATCAAGGTACTAATGCATACTACGCTCAATGTTCATGTTTGTATATAACAGAAGTATGTTACATTTTCTACATTGTAAACTGGAAGAGGAGAAAAGTAAAGTGCATCTAAAATCATTTTAAATTGGTTTTGGTGTTAGGTTAAGGGTTCAAATGCCTGACCGGTGTCTTTTGCTTTCTTTGTTTTGCTGTAGAGAATTCCTGGTGGTGGTTGTTGTTGATGTTAATATTATTAGGGATGCACCGATACTGGTATCGAGTACGAGTTTCCGATATTTTTTTTTGTACTCGCCAATGCCGGAAGTCCCATTTGAGGAAGCCAGGCGGAAGGTAATGACTCGACACCCAGCTTCCCGATTAGCAGGGAAGCCGTCTCCATGCTCCCTCGTGTCGAGGAATCATGGAGCCGGCTGCCTGGCCAGTATGGAAGCCGGACAGTGTGTAATGATTCGCTGCCCAGCTTCCTGATACCGGAAGCTTAAGTATCGGGCCAGGCAAGTACTGGCCCAAATACTCGCCATCTGTACAGATATTGGTATCGGTCATCCCTAATCATATTATAGGCGTCTATATAGTGCTCACAGTTTACACATCACATCAACAATCTGCACATACACATCACTCCCTCCCCTCAAGGACTTTACAATCTAAGGTCCCTATCTCACATGTATACATACAGGGCCAATTTAGAAAGGAGCCAATTAACTCTCCAGTATGCCTTTGGAGCGTGAGAGGAAACCGGAGTACCCAGGGCAAACCCGCACAAGGAAAGGGAGAACATGCAAACTTCATGCAGACATTGTCCTGACCGGAATGTGATGGAAATTCCAAAATGTTGTCACTGCAACAGGAAGTGAGGAGAATTGTTTCCATGAAGGTACCTGTTCCAGTGACACCTGGCTTCAAATAATTTCCCTTCCCTCTGGAGAGATTTCCTCTCACTACTTGTGTTGCCAGAGCAGAAAGTGAAGGAGAATACCCCCATCAGGAAATGGAACAGCAAAACCAAAAACCTACAGTGGTTTAAACCATTCCTACCCTATACACAACTTTTGTTACACTTTGTTAAACCCGTCATAAAGGTTGTTGCATGGTTTCCAATGCTTAGTGGCTCCTACTGCCCTTTCTGCAATCTACATTAACAAGGTAATTTCGACCATGCAATGCATTTTACTGTACTATACAAACTGTATTACTTGGATCCTGTTTGCTATCTGCTCTGTCTCCTTTGAACAATACTGAAGCCTTTATGGTGGTGGGTTTCTGTGTGGAGTTTAGTATCACCCCTGATCTAACGTGGGTAAACAGTATACTTTTGCCATGCACTAAGTTTTTTAACCCACATCTACACACAAGGGTACCCGTGCCATTTTGGGGGTCCCATGTTTGCATATAACTACTAAAGTCTGGTATACATGGTTATGTTGTCTTTGTTCAACCTGTGGGCTGAACATCGTGGTTGGACAAATCTCCTGCTGTGAGCGAATTGGCTGCAAGCACTGTTTGTCCAAAGATTATCCAACATGTTGATCTAATGATCGATGTCTGCCAATGGAATAGAGTCCCCAATGCAACAATTTTTGTCTGTTCGAGTCTAAATTTGCTGTGTACCCTACTTAAGTAGCTTTAAGTTGTTACCAGACTCAAAAACCTTTAAATATATTTCTCAATGGCTATAAATTATATCAAATCACTTTGCAAGCACAGTTATTACCTTGTAAAAGTAGCAGTGACATCATCACTGTGCTGCACATAGTTTGTGCAGAGAGCAGAGCTGTGAGAGGGACCCAGCAGGCAGCACCCACTACAGGCTGCCTACAGAAAACTACAGGAGGGGTTGGAGACGAGCCCAGTCACCCTGCACAAGGAGAAAGAGCAACAGTGACCGGACTTACTACTTACTTGCTACAGTATCAGCTAAATTTTACACTGGATTACTGCCCAGATCTGGAAGAAATACACAAAGCGCACACCAGGATTCAAGTAACAATACACATGCCTCCTGTATTTAGACAATTTTCCTATCCCGGAAAACAGTTCAATTCAATTGACATTTGCACTCTGTCGAAGACTGTTCTAGGACTCGGAGCAGTCGTCGTCCCCACCTTTTAACTGCTGTATTCCCACACTCCAATAGGGAGAGAAGCACTGTACAGAAATGTGGAGCCTCTAATATGGAGATTGCTGCCTGGGTCTCCAATATATACAATAGGGTTGGAGGTAATCCTTCCTACTGTATCTGTTCAGACTGATCCTAGAATAGCACCAATGTTTAATTGCTCTTTATATGGTTGGGGCGATCTTACATCATTCCCTGATATGTAGACATTGAAGATTTATTTATTTGTATGTAGCTCCAATTCGGAATATTGTATGGATACCGATATTTTGCTTTTGGTACTCTGTTATACCGCATACCGATATTGGTTCTTCCGCTGGAATCGAGCCGGCTTCCCGGACAATCCTGATTCGGCTTCCTGATTGCCTGGGAAAACGGCTCCATGTTGTTTGGCCGGCTCCACTGTGATTGGCTGGGGAAACCGGCTTCCCAGCCAATCAGCATTGAGCCGGCTTCCTGGGCAATTAGGATGCCGGGCTGTAAGTAATGACCCGCATCCTGGCTTCCCAGCCAATCAGCAATGAGCAGGCTGTTCAGCCAGCTCGATGCTGGCTCCATGTTCTCCTACGGCACTGACCGGAAGTTCCAGTATCAAGAAAGGTATCGGAGCATTTGGGCAAGTAAGAGTACTTGCCCAAATACTCTGTATTGGCACCAATACTGATACTTGTATCGGTATCGTCGCATCCCTGGTATTGACCTCATGGACTATGCATTTCTGCTGTCACGGTTTCTTTTGTCACCAATGCATGAAGTTTTACCTGCATGGAAAATATGTGCACAAAATAAATCACTAAGCAAACTGCTTTAAACAACTTTCCCCAAGAAGGTAAGCCGAAACCTAACCCTCGCCCACACCTGGGAGAGACTTGTTGATGGATCTATGTAAGCACATGTGGCCTGTATACACTTCCAGTTTTACAGCATTAATACTTTTTTGTTCTCTCCACAGTTTACATGTGCAGGTTATCTGACAGAGAACACCCGCTCTATCTTCGTCTGGTTGCTGGGCCCAATCTTGAAACCCTTAGTTTTGTACTACGAGAGCATGAAACTGGAGATGTCATGGTAAGAAATTGACCTATACACTCTATTATGTACATGCAGAAGACAAGGGGGGGAAAGAAAGCACATTACTACCCACTTTATTTCATCTGCCAGTCTCAACATCCACGCCTGTACTCTAGAAAATGTGATTAGACATTCAGGAATTGCTGAGGCTTCAACTAGTGATACGGATGCCTTACAAATATACATATAGGCAAATTCCTGATGCCCAATCAGAATTCTCTAGTGAATGTGTTGACATTTACAAATCAGTATTAAATTGCCATTATCACCAATCAAGTTGTTCAGCAGCCGAAGAGCGTGCATTGTATTTTTATATCTGTGGAAATGGTTGCAGGGTTTGACATGGAAAGATGTGCAGATTTTCCCTAGGAGCATGTTTTTCATTATAGAATCTGTATTCAGTAATGTTTTAGCCCATTGGCTGCTGGAGCCATTGTTAGTCTATTTCTGCACACATGTTAAAGTGCAATTGTAATTGTATTACATCACACAACAATTGCACTACTGTTTTATCACATTTCTATTTTCAGTAAAAGGAAAAAAAATACACATTAATTTTCCTGCACATGAACCACAGAGGAATGCACGTCCCATAGTTTTCATCATTTAGCAGTTCCAGAACTCACCTGCTGTTTACATCCAGTGTTTTGGCACAATGATTATACATACTGGCCAGATTTCAGCTTGCCAAGTGCTGTAAAAGGATCAGGACAGATTTTTATGGCAATTACCTCCTTGCTGCACGTTGTACCATTGCACCAGTCTGTAACAAATGCTATTGTGATTCATGATCTATAAAGTCATAATTATATTGAATGTTGTCTTTTATGTCATGGAAGGTAAATATATTTGTTTTCACACACCTGTAATGCGGTTCTAGAATTGCGGCGGTGTCCAGTTGATTATCTCTGAACCGCGGCGCTAGGCGTTTGCGTGCGGCAGCACCAGCGGAGCAGCTGCCCCGACGGAGGGTGCCGCCCTAGGGGAACGCCTAGTTTGCCTCGCGGTAAATACCTGGTCCAGACACGGACCAAGCAGCAATTCCGTCCGGGCCGCGTTCGCCAACCTGTGCTGGGCCTCCCCTCCTTCACTAGATGTTAGCACCGCAGCATTCCTAAGAACCAATGACTTAATTCTGTTCCTGCCAAGCATTAAGGAGGACGGAAGAATATCATCTTCCATCCTCTTTAGCAGCCCGGAGCCATCTGTGGCTCCTCCCAGCTATGCCCCTGGCTCACACATATACGTGTGTGTAAACATTAAAAGTAATGTTTTTATGTGAGATTGGCAAGGTTGGGTATCGGGAAAGCCCCATTTTATTATTCGTTTTAATACTATAAAGGGGCACTCCGAGGGCCTGTTCACTCCAATGCAGTGCATTAATCACACGCTTACATGCGATTTAACACGCATTAATGCGCACCACATGCACTACTTTTTTTCAACCACGTTGCACCACAACGGACAGTATTGAAGTACTGCACATTGCGATGTGTTCAAATGCATTGCAGTAAGGAGGTGCATGTGGGGTGCCATTCATATGAATGGCAACGCAGTGCACCTACCACACTGTAACACACGGTAGGTGTGTTGTGCTGTCGTGTGTGTTAATTGCATGGAACCGTGCGATTAACGGACCACATTGGTGTAAACAGGCCATTTAGGGGACAACCAGTGTAAGAGGGCACTCTGATGGGGGGGTGGGGGTTGGCGGGCAACTAATTATTTGCCCCCATCGGAGTTCCCCTTACATTAATTATGAAAGTAATGGGGCACTCCGATGGGGACAGCCAGTGTAAGGGGGCACTTTGATGGCGACAGCCAGTGTAAGGGGGCACTCCGATGGGGACAGCCAGTGTACGAAAAGTAAACAGTACAGTGTGCCACGATGAGCACCGTGCCTGGGTGCACACACCTGCATCTGTGTGAGTACATGAAAAGGAAAGCAAAACAGAGCACACTGGACAGTGCAGTTTAAACTGCTTCTAATAAATAAAGTGATACAAATTGCACCTTTGCTTTCACCCTCTCCTTTTGCTGTTTGCCTAGTGCAGGGGTCAGCAACCTTAAACACTCAAAGAGCCATTTGGACCCATTTCCCACAGAAAAGAAAACGCCGGGAGCCACAAAACCCTATTGACATCTAAAATGAAGATAACACTGCATTTATCGTTTTTTACCTTTATGCTATGTATAGCATGTATATAGGTATATGTGGGCTTAGTAACGCACCAGACTCGGGGCTTGCCTGAGGCCCTGCAGAGCCCACCATAGATCCTGCACAGCCCATCTCAGACTCTATATGGTGGGCTCTGCAGGGCCTCTGGTGTGCTGGTCGCCGGGGTCCCTTTCCCTGTACCTCCTCCCAACTCCTCTTACCTGCTGCTGAGGACTGGCCTCCTCCACCCTCTTCCCTGTCACCTCAGCCATGCCGCCCTTGGTACAGCTAAGAGGCCCCCCAGGCTGCCCAGACCCCTCACATGGGTACTTGCCGTACCCCCCTGATGGCGGTGTTCTATCAAAGTTTGTGACTACGTTACAGTGCGTGTCCGGTGACGTGGTCACACATTTCAATGTAATCCCGCCCAGTTTTTTGGCGGTGGAATGTGTGACCGCCAATAGGTCAAGCATTCCAACGCTTTGTCAGCTGTTCCAGGGCAGATTGGCATCTCAAATCATATGTGCAGGAGAACTGATCTGCCCTGGAACAGCTGTACGGTTCTGAAATGTCAATTCTATCTGGCTCTGTGAGTGCGGTCTCACATTCACACAAAGTCGGATAGAAGTGACATTTCAGGACCGAACAGAAGTTCCAGGGCAGATCAGTTCTGCACTGCTGCATATTCCACCAGGCGGGGTGCCCAGGACCGGACCTCACTGGGCCCCCCCCCCCCCCACAGCCTCAGGCCCCGGCGGTAGTTCCGCCCCTGGACAGGGAGCTGCAGCAGAGGCATGAAAGAGCCACATGCGGATCCAGAGCCGTGGGTTGCTGACCCCTGGCCTAGTGCGAATGGACCTAGCAACAGTTGCTGTAACCTGCTGCCAAGGTTTCTCTTAGTTTTATGCCCTAATTAAAGTCATCATTTGTAAGTGCAATTTTCTTATACCACCATTTTATTCTATAGGGTCTTGGCATTCAGAAAATATATAATGTTGGGGGGTTTTACGTCATTTTCAGGCCTAAAATGTGGAATATAACATGGGTGCAAAAATGGAAAAAAGGGCCTCAGTCATGAAGGGGTTAAAGGACTTTTACCTGCTGTGATATTTGCGGAATTGAGCACAATGGGGAGTGCTTCGTTTTAACATAAAAAGACAGTTTCTTCTTCATAAGCACAACATGGCTTTCTTCAGCATAACTAACATAAGGGCAGCTTATCTTCAGTAGTATTATATGAGCACCTGATCCCAGGGTTTTCAAGGTACTTCCCCCACAGAAAACAGCTCTCAAAAAAAATTCAGTGCAATACAGCACTACTCCACATCTCTTGCATGTCACTGACCCTCTCAGCCTCTCCAGCTGTCTTTCATGCCTCCAGCACACACGCTACTTGGCTTGTTCAGCTATCTGGCCTTTGGATACACGCCGGGCTTGTAAGGATCAGCAGTATTTGCCTGGGTACTAGCTAAGTGCAGTACATTTGGTAGATTTCACTTAATGGCTTGATTTACATGTTTCACAATTTGTCTTTCAGTGGGAAGCCTTCTCAGTACCAGAACTGCAGAACTTCTTGCGCATCTTAGACAAGGAGGAAGAGGAGCAATTGCAGAGCTTGAAGCGACGCTATTCATCCTACAAGGAGAAACTAGAAGAAGCTTTGAGTGGGGTGCACAAACCTGGCTAGAGCTGAGGCAGATGGGATTCTCTATGATAAAGCACGGCAGAGCATCACCGCTCTGTCCAACAGACTAACTTGCCAGGGTATATATTCCTGAAAGGATGTCTATCTGACGTGTCATAAAATGGCCCTAAACCTAGTCTATGTGGACAAGGATAATGACTTTCACTGGGACTTTCTAGAGGTTACCTCTGCACAGGTGGTATTTGCTGCAGACAATCCACAAAACAAAAGCATTCATAAATGTGTTTTTTTTCCCATGTAAATTATTAAAGCTTTAATCTATTAAGATAAGATTGTGTTAAACATGTCAAGAGCTGTTATTTATGTGAAGAAAATAGTTCTATGGTGATTGCTTATCAGGGCCACTGTTTTAGAGTTTGGCCAATTAAGGCACTCACTCGACACCTGAAGATTCAGAAGAATTAATGAAGGTTGTTGGAGAATTCCACTACGGGGCATAATGGCAAGTGATGAAATGGGAGGTGTAGATGAGGGCCCAGATGGGGGACTTTCTGAGAATGATGAGGAGGTTTTGGTTCAGCGGAAGTAGTGAGGGACGATAAGGATGCTGCCCACCACTGTGGGAGCAGAGGAGTAACTATGCAGTCAGCACAACATGTTACAATCAACTTTGTGTGTCTTGTTGTGTAACTATACATATACTAAGCTGCTACAAAGGACGTAGTATATAGAAATATTAAAGTCTGCCATGGGAAGTCAACAGTACACGCTCAGCTGCTTTACGAACTATATTTCATGGCATTGGAGAGATTTCATGAAAGCTGTTGGTTAGTTGTATGTAGTGAGAACGGAAAAGGGATGTTTTTAGGTTTTCAGTTAAAACATTATTTTGATGGCAATCTTGGTTTTATTATTATAGGTTAGCCACATGGGAGGATAGCCCTAGAGTGTTTTCCATTCCTACTGCCGTGTGGAAGATACTGGTAGATTTGATTCAAGTGTTATTTTTATAACCTGTACAGGGGCACAGACGCAGAGGATGAAAGTAATAAGCAAAGCTCTCGGCGAGGATTGTACAGTGCGTTTGTGTTTTGCAGCAATGAAACACTTGGTATGATATTATTGCATGAAGATGCATGTTGTAAGAAAACCAAAGAACAAGCAAATCAAAAGTGGTGTTACCCTTTTTGGTTTTATTTTATTTCATTATTTTAAATTGTAGTTTTAAGTTTGTTTCTAAGAAGACTCTTGACACAGTGGCAATTTTTATGTTTACTTTTCACAGCAGGTTGATGTGGTGCGCATACGGCACGGAGCAAGACTGACTCCTTCTGGCCAGGCTCTTTAGCATGTTAGCCTTCATCTCTTGTAACAGGCGACTCTGACTAGGATAAGCTTTGAGGGACACAGTGTTAATGGGGTTTATTTATTTATTATTTTCCATATGCAGTTAGAATCCGTTCAAGGTAAAATCACAAACTGAAAGAATAACATGTACATTTTATACTAGTGACACTTTCTGCTTTTATTAGATACAAGCTGCTGCCTGGAAACGTATAAAACCTGCCTGGAACCATCACAGAACAGTTTTTAGATATACAGACCAAGGAACTGCAGCCAGCAGCTATCCATAATACCCAGAATAGAACTGCTGGACCTCAGAACTATTAGGCCTAGAGACATGGTGTCCTAGGTCTACGTGGGCTGCAAATCCCTAGCTTTAGTCAAGGGAAGCATCTACAACTCCTGGTTATGTTTGCAGCAGCTTGATATTTTGCAAATGGAAGAGGGGGGAAAAAAAGTCTCGGACAGGGAACAGTTTTTCAGTTCACTTTTTACGCTGTTTGCAAAATGATTTTCATTAAATTCTCAACTGTGAATGTATTTTTTTTTTTTTACTTGAAATATACATTAGAAAAAATGGGCATATCCAATAATTTAGATTGAGTTTTGATGCAATGTTTTTATGCACTACGTATTGTCATTGATGACAGATTACTGTATTAATTTTTGTCCATGATCAATTTTTTTAAATTTAATGTTATGTTCTATACCTCCCTGTAAAGGGAAGCAAGTTAGCTACTACAAGTGCTCATTAGCATATCTTTTCCACACCCCTCTAGCTATACTTAGCCCTATTTATCAGTGTCTGAAGGAAGAACCAGCTGTTTGTTCAGAGGTAACCTATCAGATTCTTTCATTTTCCGCCTACACCGGAAGAAGGAAAAAAGGATCTGGCCGTTTTCTGTGGATCAAACGCCGTTCTTTCACACACTGATAAACCAGGACCAGTGTGTTTCACTGTGTGATCTTCTTACATGATATAAGCTGACACTGGAATATGTTCTGCACAGCCAGAGAATGAACACACTTGTGTGGATCTGTGGAATTTCAATTAATGAGCTTGAAAATAAGTCTTAAGTACTTCTGACATAATGAAATGAAAGTCTTGCAATGATGATTCACATTAGATGGTACAAGAAAGTTAAAGTGGATTTGTGATGAATTCAAATCTTTTAAATAAAGTTATACTATAATTTCTAAAAAGTTGTTGTTTTTTTTATTATTAGATGACAATCATTATTCTTGATTGTATTATGCTGAGTCATTGGACAGTACTGTATTCATTGTCTTGGGCAAATTTAACAATTGTCACACATGTTTGTTTTCCAAATCTACACTTAATTTTACAATTTCTCACTTTAACGGTCATGAATGTCAAAGTCTGAAAACTGCAGTATTTTAAATGGATCTTAATCATATTGCTAGTTTAAGTGACACTAAAATCTGGAGTCAATTCAGCTCTGCATTTGTGCGGACACTGGAGGTTGGCTACGTTTGTTACTCACGATCCCTGTGTGTGTTGTAAAGTAGCCACCACTCCAAGCTCACTCCAAGTGATGGACTACAATCTCAGGTTTAGTTTACTAATTTGTATTGAGATTGTAATCCATCACGAGAGCGATCTTGGAGCGGTGGCTACTTTACAACACACAATGACAATGGGGATCAAAAGTAGCCACCCTCCAGAAGGGACAGTGTCGGCACCAATTCAGAGATGATTTGAGGATCTACAGCTGAGTGACACACAAATAAGATACATTGTTGTTAATAATTAAGGTACTTGAATGCATTTTTAAGATTCAACTCCTGGTTTAGGGTTACTTTAAGTGTTTGCCATGTTGTCTCTGTTAGCTATGGAACCTTGCCCCAAGAGCCTCAGGACACGCAATGACTGGCCAAACATTTATGGTGTAACCATAGGAGCTCCTCCTTGTTCAGCTGAAAGTTCCCAGGTTAGATGATCGTCTCTACATAATGAAGCGTGCATTTGCATTCCATTTAAGTTGCAATAAGCCATATTTAGGCTGCTTTTTCACAAACTGGGGTCTGACTTAGGGCATTAAAGTATGTTTGAAAGAAATGAACATCGCCATCTTGTGGCCTTGCATAGTATGTCAGAGAGAGTTACTCCATTTTTCTCTACTTTCTAAGCCACTGACCCACAAGTATGCAGATAAAGACTTAACTTTACTCTGATTTCCTGATCTGTATTTAATTACTATGTAACTATGTATGCTTGTTCCAGGCATCAAAAACGATTGAATCTAGAGACAGCCCAGCAACTTTTTTGTTTAGAAGGTACGCAGTTGAAACTTCCTTTTACATTTTAAAACTCCTGGAGAAGCAAAGTTCTGTTTGGACCTAACTTTGATATCATCCCTATATCACTGATGCTTGCTGACTCTGACCAAGGAGGCATCAACTGCAACCTTCCCCTGCAAAATACCTATCTGACCTGCCCGCAGCTTCAGAGTCCTCAACTGCCGAGACTGATGCCGGGTCTTTTCAGTCCTTGACTGACAAACTTGCATCTGAGTAGTTGCATTATTCTGCTATTACTCCCAAACTAAGAGAGTTTCTACTCCTATTGATGCAGTTTGCACCACTTCAAACGTGAGGATAAGCCTGTACCTTTTACCAGTGCTGTCCCCAGTCTAAGTTGGGCAGTGGTTCCCAAACTTAGGAAGACCAGGGACCAGTAAATTCTTTCAAAACCTTACCGTGTAAAAACAAAATAAATGATACTCCAATTAAAGTATATGAATGCAAAATATGTATTAAAGATTATTGAAAAGGGCAATAATCAGTTAAAAAGTATGATGTCAGTGCTGCAATAGAGAAGGTGAAGCTGGAAGGATCACAGGGAGTGGATGCGTGCATTTTAGCTGTCACAGCTATGGTATTAGTTTCTGCATGTAAAAACTTGCTTAACATGACCTTTTGAGGGTGCCATACCTCTTCATTGCTGCCCTAGATGCCCTCATCAAGAATGCCAGCAGTGCCAAGAGTACCCATCTTCCTCTGCAAAAGAAAACTAAGACTCCGAATGGGAGACTCACCCCTCCACGGAGGCCAAGAGAAGTCCTTTTCATTACCCCACATCCTTGAGCAACTCCAAGTCTGGCACCCAATCTACCTGCAAACCATGTCCCCCAAACACAGATGAGTTGTCTTCAGCATGAGGGTATGCCCCCACTTTCAAAAGTGGGGGGATGTCTGTTAGCCTTGCGGACACTTGGACAGCCTGCAGCTTGGGTGCCAAAGCTGGTTTCCAGGGACTTACAAGCTTGAGTTCCTCTCCCTGCCCCCTCCCTTGTTCATCACTTTCAACCTTCCTGTGTCACCGCACAGATTAACAGATCTCCATACAGCCCTATAGTAGGGGCTTCTGGAGCACTGCCTCAGTCCCTGTGACAGAAGAGTTTTAGGCTACGTTCACACCAGATGCAGTGCGGTCCGGTGGGATGAAAATAGTGCTTGCAGCATTTTGATGGCACTGCACCGGACCGCAGGCATAATGTGTCAATCGCATTGCGGCCAGAGGGCGTGGCCACGGTGCCATTCACTTCAATGGCCCGCCGCGCCCCCTCCTGCCCCACCAAAAAGTGAGCCGACCACAATGCGACTTTGTGGCTGAATTTTCCTGTTATAAGAATAGAGAATAATTCAGAAAATTTTCAAGTTTCACTCTGAATGTAAAAAATGTAAATTAATCGGAAACAAAAGGGTTGAAGTATTTACATTGGTCCCTGCCCCCAAGAGAACACACAGACTAAAGCTGCCCATACACCTTACAACCATTCGTTGTGCGATGGATGTAAGGTGATTAAAATTTCGTACGACCTGCCCATCTTGGACAGGCAGATCGTACTTGCGATAATCGCAAGCCAGCCCCTCCTGAGGGGAGGGCTTGCTGATGATTACAATGCTGAGCGGGCAGTGTGCGCTTGCGGCTTTCGTCTTCCGAGCACACTACCAACCCGCCGAAAATCGTATGATTTTCGGCAGGTTTCCAAGCGTGCCGTACAGTAGATCGCACGCTGCCCATACACCTGCCGATTATCTACGATCGCGGGATCACCCGCGATTATCGTACGATAATCGGCAGGTGTATGGGCACCTTGAGAGAGATCTTTATCAATCAAATTAGCAACCCAATTAGACCCGCACCTATGGCATATCAGTCAGTCTCTCATCTTATGTGCATTTGGGGCCTCTGTGCCTGCAATCCTGGGCAGACAATTGAGACCATTTGCAATGGTCTGCAACAAATTTAGCACAGTTTAAATTCTCTATGACGAAGTTTTCTAAACCATTCATACTGAACTATCATTTGGTGCATCCAAGAAAAGTCGGTTTCCTTGCACAAAATATTTGTTGCACTGACGATAGTTTATCTGACCCATTGTGTATTGAGAATGCAAGTAAGTGTTGATTGATGGATTCAGAATAGTTTATTGCACAGTCTCAGTGAGATATCCAGTAATATGAGGGTTTGTCGTAGGTAGGACTGTGATGATTACTCACACATATTGGGGAACACATTTAGCATTGAGAAATCTTTTCTCAAAACACGCACACAGTTAAAGGGACCCTGTCAGCACAGGCTCACTTGTAAAGCATTAGATACCTGTGAATAAAGAGGCCCTGTGATTCACTTTCTAATGGCCGTTTTAACACTGGGGGGAATTCATAAAAACTGGAGCAGACGGAATCTGGAGCAGTTGCCCACCAATGCAACCAATCAGCGTCTCTCTTCAGTTTGTTCAGTTAAGCTTTGAACATAATATAGAGAAGCAGATTAGTTACCATGGGCAGGGCCACTGATAAGGGGCTTACCGCCGGCCTCATTGGGTCAGCGGGAAGGAGGGGGTGAGTTTAGGGCCCATGGGTTCAGCTTGGAAGCAGGCAGTGGAGCTCAGGCTCCTCCCCCTCAGCTGTCCTAGTATCTAATGTGAATGCTGTTTCATGCAGGTTCACCTCAAGCTGCCCATACACCTTGCGATCATACAATTTTCTTACGGCGGCCCCATCCTGCCCCGATTATCGCAAGGTTGGATCAGTAATCGACCGCACGTATTTTCCCCTGCGCATGTGCAGTCTAAATCGTATGGAAACGCCACCAACCTAGCAAAAATCGTACGATCGACCAAAGTTTTCTAAACTGCTGGTTAGTCACAAGTTGATCAATTGTACAGTATTTGCGGTTGTACACTGCCCATCAACCTTACGAATATCGGACGAAAACGTGATCGAATGCGAAAATGGGCCGCTATTCGTAAGGTGTATGGGCACCTTAACTCTCTGCCTGAGCCTCCAGTGCCTACCTCACTTGTGCATCTGGAGCACCAGTGAGGTAGGCAGTCATTGGAAGTGCAAGCCTCGAGTTAGGTGGACCTGATGAAGCAGCATTCACCTTAGTGAGCCTGCGCAGCTGGCGGTCTTAGCAGGGTAACGGGTAGGAGAGCTGCACAGAGGGGAGCTCCGTCCTTGGGGTGCACAGGTTGTGAACAGTGTGAGGACCGTGCATTGCGGAGATGTGGCAGCTGGGATCTGCAGGCAGAAGGCCTCTGATTAGTTGGGTACACGGTCCGTCAGATTCCCGCTGCCTCTGTCTATGCCTCTCGCCCGGTGAGATCTCACGGCCTGTTCTCACCTATGCATTGTATTATTGCACAGTTCCATGAGATTAATGCACGCTATTATGCAACACACCTACCATGTGTTTTAGTGCGGCAGGTGCGTTGTGTTGCCTTTAACCACTTGGCTGTCCGGGGCATTTTCTTACTATTTGCACACACATAAAAAAATATAAAGTTTTGGCTAGAAAACCGCTTCAAACCCCCAAACAATGATATATGTTCTGAAAGCAGAGGCCCTGTTGAATAAAAAAAATGCTAGTTGCAATTTTTTATGTCGCATGGTTTTTACGCAAATGTTTATCAAACCAGTATTTTTAGGGAAAAATAAATAAAATTAAAATGTAGTGCACAGAAACACCCAATTTTTGGGTAAAATAGATGGGGTCATGTCGGGTAAATAGATACCAAACATGTCAAGCCTTGAAATTGCGTTCGCCCGTGAAGCCGCAAAAAAAAAGTCACAGGGAACATTTTAAATGCTTTTACCGCTCATCCGTTTTAGTACTAACAGTGATTGATGGCCCTACAATTATTGCCGCACGGTACATTAACAGCAATCGTCTACTGTTAAAGGGGTACCAACAACAGCGGGCTGCCGTTTATAGACGTATTGCGGCTCGGGAGTGGCCGCAATACACAAAATGGCGCGATGACCTGGGTGGTATGCAATCACACACTGGAGACTAACTGTCTCTGCAAAAATGCCAGGAAAATTAACACTTACATGTGAGTCCGGGGACCAGAGAAGGTGGCCTTTGGAGAGGATTGAGGTGACCAAGGTGTGTACCTTCACATTGCTGGTCCACTACCAGGAGGTGCCCATCTGGGATGGAGAATGCGAGGCTGTGGACGGAGGGAGATGGATGAGCGGGAGTTCCGTTCGTGTCCCTGCTTTGTAAACGGGGAATCAATGCGGTATGGGAAGGACTCGACGGTGTTCGGTCTGACTGAGCAACTGTGGGTGGCAATGCTCAGTACATGGTGAAGTCCTATGCCTATTGGTCCGGATGCAGTGGCGTGCAGGTCGTCTGACAGCGGCGGTAGAGAGGTGCTGTCAATGCGGCAGGCAGTCATGTCAATAGTGGTGGTGGTATCGGGGATCACGAGGGAGCAACGCGTTTCGAGGAATACCTCTTTGTCAAGCTCAAACAAACAGTATTACAGTGGCGGGAATCCAAAGGTTTAAAAATGACAGCTGGGCGGAGCTAAAAACAATAAGCGGCAACCCCGCAGTTAAAGGTGAAAACAGGGCTACTTCATGTGAACTCGTATTTGAAGGCTTATTTGCATGACTGAACCTGACCTGGCCTGATTGAAGACTTGGAACAACAGTTAAAAGAGCTAACTTTAATGATGAAAAAAATGATGATGCACCCATGTTATAAAAAGATAAAATGTGCATTTATTATTTTTTGCATTGCAACCAGTGGATTTGCAGGCTCCTCCCGCCGCATATGTTTACTGAGGTACTGAGCTGCTGTTATAGAGCAGCTCAGTACCTCAGTAAACATATGCGGCGGGAGGAGCCTGCAAATCCACTGGTTGCAATGCAAAAAATAATAAATGCACATTTTATCTTTTTATAACATGGGTGCATTTATTATTTTTTTTACAAAAAGTGGAATACGCCTTTAAGTTCCTCTGGAACTTGCTATGTTTCCATTACAATTCCAACTTCTCCAAATAGATTCTCTGCCTGCAGAACTCCGCCACTTCACAGGAGGGATGCATGTGTGTTTATCGGTCCATGTATGTATCAGTCTCCCCTGTATGTCTATCAGTCTCCCCTGTATGTCTATCAGTCTCCCCTGTATGTCTATCAGTCTCCCCTGTATGCCTATCAGTCTCCCCTGTATGCCTATCAGTCTCCCCTGTATGCCTATCAGTCTCCCCTGTATGCCTATCAGTGTCCCCTGTATGTCTATCAGTCTCCCCTGTATGCCTATCAGTGTCCCCTGTATGTCTATCAGTCTCCCCTGTATGCCTATCAGTGTCCCCTGCATGTTTATCAGTCCCTCTTGTATGTTTATCAGTCTCCCCTGTATGTTTATCGGCCCCCTGTACTTTACTCGTCTGTATGTTTATCAGTCCCACTCCCCAGTATGTATGACGCTCCATGATTGTCAGTCCCCCGTATATAGATTACAGGGCAGTAGAGAGCGGTGAGCAGGCGGCTGCGCTGCTGGTGTAGGCCGTGTCCTGTGGATGACCCCGCTCACACCGCCCCTCCTCTGCCATCCCAGCTGGGATCTGCTCTTCTTCTGCGCCGTATATATCGCTCCCCTCACAGGACTCTCCATACACCGACACACAACATGTAAGCCGGGGCTCGGTGGGGGGATTGTTCGGTCATAGGCAGCTGGGGGTCTGACCATTGTATGAGCCTTCCTTCCCTCTCTCTTGTATAACATTCGCAGCTGTGATTATAGAAGCCTCTCTACCAATGAAGGAAGGGGAGACTTCAATACAGTATAAGGACACCCCTATATACTTCCATTTTACATGCCGTGAGCTTTCATTGCTTGAAATTATTGGACATTGTAAGTGCTGCAGGTCTGTGTTTTTCCATCTTTGGTGTTATTTCCGTATCGTCGCCTCTTCCTATGTCTAGGGATCTAGATGGTGTGTGTGTCTTCTAAGGTGAGGTCAAATAGTGCTCAGGAGGAGATCTCTTGTCAATCTTGATTTGCAATCTGCCCATCAGATGTATAAAAAGATGTATGTTAGAGCTAGAGAACAACTGCAGTGTGTGAGGAGATAAGTGTTACCTGGAAGTCATTCTTACCTGCAAGCGCTTTATTCTTAGGGTGCCCACACACCTTACGATAATCGCGGGAAATCCCACGATCGTATGATTATCGTAAGACGTGTGGAAGCCGTGCGAACTCTACAACTGTAAGGTCGCACGACTTTTATCTTACGAACATGTTCGAAAACCCGCCGAGAATCGTACAATGTTCGGCGGGTGTGTAACATGTTCGTAAGATAAAAGCCGGACGGGCAAGCGCACACTGCCCGTTCGGCATTGCGGTAATCGAAAGCCCGCCCCTCAGGGGGGCGCGGCTTGCGATCATCGCAAGTACGATCTGCCTGTCCAAGATGGGCAGATCGTACGTTTTTTTAAGTACCTTACAACCATCGCAAGACAAAAGTCTTGCGATGGTTGTAAGGTGTGTGCCCAGCATTAGCTTGAAGTGCTTCATCTTTAGCTGGAAGCACCTCATCCTTAGCTGGAAGCACCTCATCCTCAGCTGAAAACCCTTTGGTTAGCTGGAACCACTTTTTTGTGGAAATGCTTTGTCCTTTGGTGGAAACGCTTCATTCTTAGCTGGAAACGCTTCATTCTTAGCTGCAAACACTATTCTTTACACCCTTCGTGTCCTTTTATTTGAATTTTATTGGTCAGCCCATTGACTTATGTTGGGACTACTATTTGCACCATAGTACTGGGATCAAAAGCCTGCAGTTACCAGAGATTGTTGAAAGGTAAAATGTGGCAGCAGCGTATCCATGTGCAAGGTATTGGCAGAGAAGGTCTAAAGTAAACCTTTCTTGTGGATAATCTGCACATGTATGGACATATTTATCTCCTATATGTGGGTATATTTGTGGATCTCTGATATACACTATATTGCCAAAAGTATTGGGACGCCTGCCTTTACACGCACATGAACTTTAATGGCATTCCAGTCTTAGCCCGTAGGGGGTCAATATTGAGTTGGCCCACCCTTTGCAGCTATAACAGCTTCAACTCTTCTGGGAAGGTGTCCACAAGGTTTAGGAGTGTGTCTATGGGAATAGTCATTTATTGATGTTGGAGGAGAAGGCCTGGCTCGCAGTCTCCCATCTAATTCATCCCAAAGGTGTTCTATCGGGTTGAGGTCAGGACTCTGTGTAGTCCAGTCAAGTTCCTCCACCCCAAACTCGTTCATCCAGGTCTGTATGGACCTTGCTTTGTGCACTGGTGCGCAGTCATGTTGGAACTGGAAGGGGCCATTTCCAAACTGTTCCCACAAAGTTGGGAGCATGAAATTGTCCAAAATGTCTTGGTATGCTGATGCCTTAAGAGTTCCCTTCACTGGAACTAAAGAGCCAAGCCCAACCCCTGAAAAACAACCCCACACCATTATCCCCCTCCACCAAACGTTACACTTGGCACAATGCAGTCAGGCAAGTACCGTTCTCCCGGCAACCACCAAACCCAGACACGTCCATCGGATTGCCAGACAGAGAAGCGTGATTTATCACTCCAGAGAACACGTCTCCACTTCTCTAGAGTCCAGTGGCGGCGTGCTAAACAAAACTGCATCCGACGCTTTGCATTGCACTTAGTGATGTAAGGCTTGGATACAGCTCCTCGGCCATGGAAACCCATTCCATGAAGCTCTCTACGCACTGTTGTTGTGCCAATCTGAAGGCCACATGAAGTTTGGAGGTCTGTAGCTATTGACTCTGCAGACAGTTGGCAACTTCTGTGCGCTTCAGCATGCGCTGACCCCGTTCTGTCATTTTACGTGGCTACCACTTCATGGCTGAGTTGCTGTTGTTCCCAGTTGCTTCAACTTTGTTATAATACCACTAACAGGTGACCGTGGAATATTTAGTAGCAAGGAAATGTCACGGATGGACTTATTGCACAGGTGACAGCCTATCACAGTAACACGCTTGAATTCACTGAGCTCCTGAGAGCGTCCCATTCTTTCACAAATGTTTGTAGAAGCAGTCTGCATGCCTAGGTGCTTGATTTTATAAACCTGTGGCCATGGAGGTGATTGAACACCTGAATCCAATGATTTGGAGGGGTGTCCTAATACTTCTGGCAATATAGTCTATTTTAGATGTCATGTTTTTTTTTGCTCCTCACCAGCTATTTGTTTATTGTAGGTATCTCAAATGGGGCTTTTCTGCTGCTCTACTTGCAGCCATTGTTGGAATATACCTGTTACCATCTCCAATAGACCCAGAACCATTCATGTAAGTCCTAGCCTGTCTTAGGATCTATGATGTTTTACTTGATGTTTCTGTTTATTTTCTTGCATGTTATTTATCTATTATTTACCCCACTCATGCTTATGACTTGCATTTTTTGATAGTTATTGTAGAACAAATTACACACACGCTTTCCCTTTCAGTTGGATTTTTTTTTTTAGAGCACTTTTATTTGTTTTGCAAAACATTGCTCTGCCACAGTACATATGAGTGTGGCAGAGCAATGTGGCAGTTTTAGAAAATGTTTATTAGGTACAGTTCACAAACCTATTCTATTTTCGATGAAGAAAAAAAAACAGCTGAGGGTGTTTATATTTCCAGTCTTCGGTAGGGCCAACATCTTAACATCTAACTTAGGCTGACTGGTCCCAAAACTGCTCTGGGACACACATTTTCATGCAATAGATAGAGCTTAGGGGTTATTATAATGTGCTTTCTGTGTTTGCCTCCCTTTAGGACTGGTCCTGTTCATTGTTCCATATGTTTTACATTACAATCTCAAAATTCTTTATATTTCTAGGTTTGATAAACCTCCTCATTTGGTGGGACCATTGGCTGTCAACAGAAGGATCCATGAAGGAACAAGGCTCTTCTATGGACAACTGAAGGGTCCAGAATCATTTACTAGTGATCATGAAGGTAGAAGGACATCAACAGAATTACTGGCCTCTAAAATGAACACATGTTCTACTTTGGGGAATGCAGACTGGTATAAAGCTAGTAGTATAGAAGGATGCAATTATATTTCATTAGCTTGTAGGCACAGAACCGGGGGCACCTTAAAGGGAATCTTTACTGAATATGGAAGATGTCATTGCTCATTTCTTCTGAAACTGCTTGTTTGCTGGTTGTTATGTTGATCCAATGAGGGGAATTGATCAAAACTGGTGCAGACAAAATCTGGAGCAACTGTACACAGCAACCAATCAGCTTCTCTCTTTCATTTTCAAATCTTAACTGAACAAACTGAAGAGAGAAGCTGATTGGTTGCCATGCACAGCTGCTCCAGATTTAGTCTGCTCCAGTCTTGATAAATTCCCCTCATTGACTAACATTTTTGGAGTAACTGACAACGAACAAGTTTAAGGGCCCTGAGATCACTCTGACTTTTTAATCTGCATTCTTCTTCCAGATCAGACAAGTAGAAGTCTTAGTTCAGCAGTGGCAGTCTTCATATTTTCCCAGTACAGTTTCCTGTTAGCTAAGGTGGAAGGAAGGTGTTATCCTAGTTGGGCTGCACTAGGTAGAGGATTTTTCATAGAACACCTTCAGTAAAGGTGAAGTCCTTTGAAGTGAAACCCCTGACAAAGCAGTTTTTACAAAGTTGACATACATATACGTTTAATGTGTTACTCCCAAGAAGTTGTAATTGCGTTCAACCACACTTGATATTTACCCAGCTCTGCTACACTTTACAGACAGGAAGACCACTCTACTATTACTTGGTGCAGCTTTACCGCTTTCTGTTTCAGCTTTTCTGCCTCCATTTTAATTATACTGAGGTGATGATAGCGATTAATTGCCCACTGACCAGTTGGCGCTGGACGGGTGACTAGCAAAGCTGAATTCCTGTACCGTGATAAGTGTGTCACATCCTTTGCTGTGCATTGTGGCAAATGTGTGAGCTGCAAACCTTTTGGCAGGTAAAACTGTAAACATATATGTATGTAACCAGTGCGTTTGTTTGCTGGGAGTTCTGTTTTGGGCCCAGCCTGTCCAATTTGATTAAGGAGCAGTGGAGTGCAGTAATCAATATTAACCAGCCAGAAACCAGTGAGCTTTCCACTCTAACCAGCTGCTGAAAATCAATGTTTAAATGGTTGCTCTGGGTTACTGCAGACCACATTGTTTGCTCTATATTATTTTATCAGCAGATCTTTGTATGCTGGACCAAAAGAGGGGAACTAGGAAGCTCTGGAAATATGGGCCCCTGTCATCTAAAGGGTTGGGAAAATCCTAGTTGCCATGGTGACTTGAAGAAGCCCCCTTTTAACCAGGATGTCCTGTACATTGCTAGGTCCGATCACAAGCGCCTGGGCCTCCGACACTGCCATTATTGATAGTATAGTGCCTGGTGATTACCGCTGAGCCTGTTGGGCATAACAGTAACATTAATCAAGAAGCTTTTGCTGCCAGACCTACTTGGGAAGAGAGATGCATATGTCTGCTGTGGTGGAGCAGCAGACAGGTAGCCATTGAGAGAACTGTGTATATGGCAGCATTTTAGGAAAGAGGGCTATATATGAGACCACCGTAGGAAGTAAGAATGGCATCAAATCAAAGCTGCATTGTTATGTCTTTAGAGCTGGCTCCAAGTTTGTCCGAAGATGTGTCCAGGCCTGATACACCAAACCTTTTTTGCTACCGGAGATGCCAGATAGAAACTGTAAAAGCAAAAGTTTCATCACAATATTAGCTGTATTCTATATTCAGTGTTACAGTAGCAAGAAACTCTTTGTGAATGTTGGAATACAGGCATATGGTGGACTCTCTAGACATTCAGGTATCGTACTTTGCTAGGCAAGAGTGGGACTTTGGAAATATAGTGCCATGGCTATAATGTTAGCTTAAACTATTGTTATTTAACAAATGTGCATCCTCTGACAGACTTGTACTCACAGAGCTCCTAAATATTGGAATTGCAGTGTTTGTAGCTTTTCATGTTTTGTGATACCTTTAATCACTGTATAATTCTTTAGGCAACCTTTACACTGGCACGGTGGATGGAAAGTTGTGGCGGATTCATGGAGAACACTTACAACTCGTAACCCAAATGGGGAAGAATGTGTCAGGGTGTGGTGAGTCACCAAATCAACTTCTTTGTCTTAAACATACTCTGTTGCATAACAAACAAAGGTATAAAGTGCTGGCACAGTCTCATTGTCACAGGTCGGCTAGAACTATGAGGATGAGTGAAAAGCATTCACCTCATAGTTCTCCTTTAAGTCCGCCCACGTACACACACATATAAACATAAATATGCGGCGATTGTGCGAAAACGACAATTGTGCTGCACTTGTTACATATCACTGCGAATGTTGGAGTGCAAGCAATAATTGTAGGGCCATCAATTAGTTATAACACAAAACTGAGGAGCGGTAAAAACGTTTAAATTGTCACCCATGGCCAATTTTGGGTATTGCAGTTTTTTGCGGTCTCGCGGGCACGCCCAAATTTTAAGGCTTGACATGTTTGGTGTCCATTTACCCGACGTGACCCCATCTCTTATATTTTAACGAAAATTGGGTAATAATAAATGTTTCATAACTTAATATAGGGGGACAGAGTTTTTCTGGTAAATTTTCCTTAGTATAGTAAAAAATAAAACCCCCAGCGGTGATTAAATACCACCATAAGAAAGCTCCATCTGTCCCCAAAAAATTGTATAAAATTAATTTCAGTACAGCGTTGCATGACGGAATAAACGTCAGTCAAAGTACCGCAGCGCTGAATACTGAAAAATGGCCTGGTCAGGAAGGGGGTTTGACATCCCAGTCTTCAAAGTGCTTAATACAGGAGGCCTGTGTATTTTTTTCATATTCAAAAGTTTTTATTGTTTTTTCCATTAAGACATATACAATGACCATCTACATACTACAATGTAACAAAACAACCTAAAACAAAAAACAAACAGGACAGTCTTCAGGATTCCTTATTATTCCATCTCTAGTGTCTGGTCTCAACTGTCGACACAAGCCTACCGTTTTTTATTTCGGCTCACGCTGGCCCCCTGCCCAGCTTCCCGCTCCAAACTTCGGCCTTAGCGGAGCTATTCCTATTTTACCCCCTGAAGATATACCTATACAAGTAGTAGGCGGCCCGAATCCTTTCCCTTTTTTTGTTTGATGTATGCTTCTGGTTAAGAATTGGATAAATTAATTATTTATTTATTAATTATTTACTAAAGGGTAATAGGTTAGAGCTGGACCTCCAGAAGCGAACAAGCCTCTCTTGCCTCCCATCTTGTCATCTTGGGGTTTAGCAGTCGCTCAACCGATGGTCAAAAACCCAGGGAGTTGTCAACTATTCTTACCAAAAGCTTGTGTCAGAACAGTCGAGACCAGACCACTAGGTTATCCCTATTATAGTGCCTTACAAAACCTAAAGACATAGTAAAAACAAGAACAATAAAAGCCACAACACCAAAAAAGAAAACAAAAAACAAAAACAAAAAACAAAACAATGTGGTTATATAGCAACTGTTGTATTA